TGCCCCCCCGCCCCCCGTTCATGCTCTGTCTCTCTCTGTCTCAAAAATAAATAAACGTTAAAAAAAAATTTTTTTTTTTTTTAAATTAAACACAGAATTACCATATGATACAGCAACTCTGCTCCTGGGTATACAACCAAAGAACTGAAAGCAGAATCTTAAAGAGATAATTTGCACATCGATGTTCATAGCAGTATTATTCACAATAAACAAAAGATAGAAGCAACCCTGTGTTCACTGATGGATGAACATGGACAAAATGTGGTGTACATATATCCAATGGAATATTATTCTTCCTTAAAAAGGAAGGAAACTCTGACACATGCTACAACATGGAAGAATTCCCTTGGGATTATTATGTCAAGTGAAATAAGCCAGTCACAAAAAGGCAAATATTGCATGATCCCACTTATATGAGATTTCTACAATAGTCAAAATCATAGGAACAGAAAGTACAACATGAGTTGCCAGAGGCTGGGGGTTGGGCGGATGGGGAGTTATTGTTTAATGGTAGTATCGAGTTGCAGTTCTGAAGGATGAAAAACTTCTAGGATTGGTTGTATAACAGTGTGTATATATTTAACATTATTGAACTTTACATTTAAAATTGGTTGGGATGGTAAATATTATGTTTATTTCATGACAATTAAAAGAAATAACCTAGAACATTGACAAGAAAAAGTATTTATTCATTCATAATATAATTTACCCAGAATTCAGAATTAAGGTCTATTCTATTGAATCATCCTTTTTTATTAATCATAAGAGGTTATAAATTGGTAATATCTTTTTTTCAAAATCTTGGTATTACTGAAACAATTGAAAATATACTCTGAGTACCATAAAGAAAAAAAAAAAACCCAAAGACTGACATATTTGTCATGTTGTGCAAAATTCTCAAAGAATATAAACTTTCCCTATTAGTAAGTAAAATTATTACTATCCTACATTATGAATCATATTTCTAGTGTCACAAGATGGCCAATTCTGCTATGAATTAAACAACTGTTCCTATAATTACCTTACATAACACACATAGGATGGTCCTAGATTTTTAAAAGCTTCTTCAAATTAAATAAAACAACACATACCCACCATACCCACAAACATAATCACCATCAACACAATGAATTATACAAACAGATGTCCAATTCTGTTAGCCCTTTTCATTAAGTTATTTTTCCTCTTTTGATCCTTAAACAGCTTTAATAATTTCTATAAATGAATCTGAGTTCAAATAATTATTTGTGTTAAATAGATTATAATTCAGTAATAGGAAATCTAAGGTATAAATATGGTAATATGTTTTATCTTTCATCTTCAGCACATAGTCAATAGAGATTTAAAAGTATTTTTGAGTTACCTCTATAAAGAATACAACTAAACATAACTTAAAGAACATTACATAGTGTTTCATTTGCATGTAATGTCATATCTCTAGCATAGATTACAAGTAGCATAAATGATTTTTCATAATGTAAATAGCATGCATCCCTCCACTTAAAGAAACAAAAATTAATTATATCATGCTAAGAATAACTTCTTATATATATTAAAAGTATATCACATTGGATATGTTTCTAATATGTTGAAACGTCAACTTAAATTTGACAACGCTTTTCAATGTGCCATTGAGAGACCCCAACTAAAACAAGAGGTCTTATAACACAACTCAATACATTATACACACAGAGTTAAGAAATCCATCTTAAAACACTTATAATCCTAAATATAAGATGAGCTATTAAAACAGTTAAATTGTTTATTTCAAAATTCGACATGCAGGAAAGTTACTACTTCAAACAAATCCTTAACATTAGAAAAGAATGTCAAGTTCTTCTACGTGGTCTTACATTTAACCCCTGCAAGACTGTGATAGAAACAAATATTCTCAGAATAACTATCAAAAAGAGAATTTCTCAAATATCCATCCCCTTTACTTCAATTTTCCCAAAAGTTACATTCTGTTCTCATTATTAAAGCAGATCAGAAGTTAGTAATAAGTCCAGAAAGTTTTTCTTAGGTATTCACAACCTTCTCAACTTTTTCTCCCAGAGCATCCCACCATCATGTTCTTGTATCGTAGCTCACTCAGTTCATTCAAGTCCAATAATTAGTTTTACTATACAATGGAAGCAAAATCTTGGAGAGTGTATTATACACAACCTAGATAAATTACGGAGGACCTATCACATTATTCCACTGCCCTAACACAGATTTGAAAGTATGATTTAGTCACTTCCTTTTCTGCCTTTTCATTCTCCTCTGAAGCAGTAAACCCTTAAAACTTCACTCATCCATTTATAGACACACACACACACACACACACACACACACACACACTTGATTTGATTTGATATTTGTACTTTGTCCACAGAAATTCCATACTTGCTCATTTATCCAATTACGACAAACTACATACTGCTCCAAGTGTCAATATTAGCCAGATACCATGGGTTCTCTTCAGCTTAATTTTTCCTTCTTTCTTCTGTTTTCCTTATAACAGCCTTAGTGATTGGAAGACTTAATTATTCTTCACACATCACCTACTTTCAGCATCAGCAGCTCAAGTAGGTAAGTCATAAGTCTACCAAATAGGTAAATACATAAAGCACTCATTAAATACACATATCATACCGTAATATTTTTTATTTGGAGCATTTATTAAAATCACATATGTATGCAATTTTAACAAACCTTATACTAGTGTGGAGGTCTCATCAAACTACTTTTATAAGGAGGAGGTTTTGTAAAAACATTTCCGACATATTTTCACTCAATGATGCAACATAAACAATTCAACTTCTATAGAACTATGTAGTGTACACGAATCAATGAACAAATAGTAAAGACTTCTGTCAGGAGTTTAGGACAGAAGAGAAGTAAATGGCTTTAACAAAAAGAAAAATCCTTACCCATGAGGTATCTATTAAGTGAATACTGCTATAGAATGATAACTCAGAATAAAATATTTCCCATAGTAACAACTGAAAAAAATACATCATTTTTCTACACAGGACACTTCCTTCCTTAAAGAGCTTTGCTAAGGAACAAATATGTCTCTAAAATATGAATTGAGTCATTAATAGTACATTTTGACAATTCTTCATTAAAAAAGTTCTTTCCAAATCCAAGTGGCAAAGGCAAGAACAAATTATCACTAAATTCTTACATTCAAGACTAATGCCAAGTTAAAAGAATGATGCTAAATTAAGATATATGCTATTTAAAACCAGAGACTTAGAATAATTTTGTTCAGCCCATACAGTAGTAATCTGAGATAAATTCTTCTAAGAATACTAAGATTGAACGTAAAATTTAGTGCATGATGAATATCATTCTGTACTCTGGGAAGAAGTATCAAATTCTCTCAGAACGCTGTAACTCATTGTTATAATCAATTATTCAAGTATAATTCTCCATGGCTTTTATATTATTAAAGTCTACAGGAACACATCTTTTCCACAAAGACTACATTACACAGATAAATACTACTACTGTGACCAAAAATATGCCTTACAAATAGTACAATAATGGAACAATTTACGTTATTCATTCAAATGGATGAAATCTTTCAGAAAAATTATATAGTTTCCTCCCATATCCATATGGAAAACAGAACTCTTCATGCAAATAAATGTTATCAACATTAATTTACTCAGAATATTTACAGCCACATAAAATAGTTATATTCTTGATTAAATATTTATAGACTGAAAGGACAAATGTCAGTCTTCACTGGAATAAAAATCATGGAGAAAGAATACGGATTCCTTTTGAGTAAGGAAAAGAGAAACAGAACTGAGAGACTTGAGTCTGGAAACTCATTTGTAAATTCATTACATTATAAACTTCAAGATTCAGTCATTTTCAAGATTCTGTGTCTTATGACTGTATTTTTTTAAATAACTGGAAAATCATTAAAGAATCAATATCCTTCAGATGCAACACATGCTTGTGTTTCATTCATCACAAAATACTCAATGAATTACTAGTAAAACTTGTGGGAATATAGATTATATGTGATGTGAATGACTGATTTCCTGTTACAATATATTTTACTGAATGCATTACACATATCATTAAAAAAAGCACCTGCCAGCATTCCATTTTCTTTTCTCTATTGCCAAAGGCTTAACTAGTCTTTATTTTTTTTTAAATAAAAGGTGATCTTACCCAGAGGTAAGATCATCTAGGTATGTTCATACAGAAGATAATATGCATATTTTATAGTAAATATAAAATTATAAAAATTCATAAAAAATAGAGACACTAGTAAGAACATTAAAAATTGAAACCTATAAAACTCTTCAAAAATTATTTCCTTATAAAGCTTTCTAATATGAAATATTATAAATATATTCTAAATATTCAAATATATTATTTATAATTATTTTATATTTTTAATTGTTCTTACAAGTATTATAAATGATTAAGAACTTAAAATTAATGTGAGCAAATTCAATTGCACCTTCTCCAGCAAATAAATTACGCATCATTTCCCTGCTCAGTAGCTACTGCCACACTGGCAAGATATGATCAACCGTTAGTAAGACTCCTTGAAAGTCCACTGTTAATCATAATGCTATGTCTTCTTCTACTACCTATTTCTAAAAAGAAACTATTCTATATCTTCACTTCTACTGAAACTATTGGATGTACTCCACTATATGTAACTCAAATTGTTAGAAAAGAAAAAGTTGGTGTGCCTGGGTAGCTCAGTTGGTTAAGCATCTGACTCTTGATTTCAGCTCAGGTCATAATCTCACAACTTGTGAGACTGAGCCCTGCAATGATCTGTCAGTGCAGAGACTGCTTGGGATTCTCTCTCTCCCTCTCTCTGCCCCTCTCTTACTCTCAAAATAAATAAATAAACTTTAAAAAAAAAAAAAGAAAAACTACTCAACCTCAAATCAGTTCTTAGTTACAATTCTTTTGAAAAAAGTCACACCAACCATGAAGTTTTGAATTATGCTTAGTAATGAAAACCAAATACTCACAAAGAAGGATCTTGTACGAGATCTTTGAGATTTATCCCACTGCGATCTTCTGCAAGATTCCTGAAGCAACTATCACTCACTAAACAAGAGAGGGAGAGAGAAAAAGAAAATTAATTTTTGTTTACATTTTATTTCAATTACTCCTGACAAAATGGAATTTTAAATTAAAACTGGCTCTCTGGATGGCATTTTTCCAAACAGTAATGTTGATCAATTTCTGGACCTAGCAGATTTTGCAACAAATATTAATATTCAATAACAAACCAATAATCTAAGCATACAAACTTTATATAAATACAACACATACAGCCAGGGCCACTCTGGAAAACAGTATGGAGATTCCTCAAAAAATTAAACATAGAATTACCTTACAACCCAGCAATTACACTACTAGGTATTTATCCAAAGAATACAAAAGTGCTGATTCAAGGGGCACATGCACCTCAACGTTTATAGAAGCACTATCAACAATAGCCAAATTATGGAAAGAACCCAAATGTCCATCAACTAACAAATGGATAAAGATGTTTTATATATATGTGGGTGTATACACACACACACACAAATGAAATATTACTCAGCAATCAAATAAAATGAAATATCGCCATTTGCAATAACATGGATTGGAACTAGAGTATATATTGAGTGGAATAAGTCAGCGAAAGATAAATATCATATGACTTCACTCATATGTGGAATATAAGAAACAAAATAGATGAACACAGAAGGGAAGGAAAAATAAGATAAAAACAGAGAGGTAGGCAAATCATAAGAAACTCTTAAATACAGAGAACAAACTGAGGGTTGCTGGTGGGGTGTTAGGTGGGGGGATGGGCTAAATGGATGATGGGCAATAAAGAGGGCACTTGTTGAGATGAGCACTGGGTGTTCTATGTAAGTGATGAATCACTAAATTCTACTCCAGAAATCATTATTACACTGTATTTTAACTAACTGGGGTTTAAATAAAATTTAAAAATTAAAATAATAAAAAAAATACAACACAGAAAAGACTAAACACATAGGTCTAAATTTTGTTCTTACTTTTATAAGACTAAATTACCAGCATATAGTGGCAAATCACTGATTCCACAACAACTAGGGGAAAAAAAGGTAAGTTGTCCCTCCAAGTTATATTTTTAAAGATATTAGACAACAATGTGAGCTAATAAGGATAAATGAGGAGAAAAGTGGTATCACTTCTTAGGTGAGTCAAGCTTCCTAATTATTTTCATTTCTAGGAGGATTTGCCACTTATAACCTAAGAGTCAGAAAGAGGAAGACTATTAGGGAAAAGAGAAACCAGCATAGTTCTTGATGGTTCACAGGCTGGCATGACAGACTGAAATCCATTGGAACCCTAAAACATAGACAGTTTTCTGCTGGAGATTTGCTAAGGGCCAGGACTGCACAAGATGACTTGGAATGAGGAGGAAAAAAATGGGTCAGAGGGCAAATAATGTTTTCTATAGTACTGTGGTGATTAGGAGTCAAAGTCATATTACAGTAGGTGGAGCCTACCACTTTCAGTGTAGAACTTCAGATCTCCCCTAAGAATAATTTACTCTCAACCACAAGCAAGGTGGGAGGTGGGATGTGGGGAGGGGGTGAAAAGGGGACAGAACTCAAAAGATAAAGTAAAATTTCTCATAATTTCACAGTACTTAAGTACAAAGTCACATCGGAAATATGGCACACAACAGGTTTTGCCCTTAAAGACATTTAAAACCCGAGGTAGACTAAGTATATATCTAAAGTTTTCACTCTATCCATCTCAATTTGAAGTTGAGTTAAAGTGACTGGCACTTAACACTAAATAACATTTAATTTCTATGATCTTATAATAAACAGTATTTGGTATATTACAGAAATTACAAAATGTGACCAATAACAAAAAGAAAAAATTATATGTGTGTGTGTGTCTGTGTGTGTGTGTGTCTATAGTGACACACAGATGATACAGAATCAGAAGATAAGGACTTTACAAAAACTTAAAACTTTCAAAAAACCTATTTAACAGAAGTTGAAGATACGGAAAAATATTCACACTTGATGAAAGAAGTAAAATTTCAGCAAAGAATTAAAATCTATGAAGAAGAATCAAATAGTAATTTTAGAATTGAAAACACAATATCTGAAATTAAGAAATCAGTGGTTGAGCTGACTCAACACAGAAAACACGGGATTTGTGAACATGAAGAGATCAGTAGAAAATATCCAAACAGAAGCAATGGGGGGAGGGGGGAGGTGAAAAGATCAGAGGAAAAGAAACATGTGGAAATCAAACAGCCCAATGTAATTGTAGTTGAGTATATGACTCCAGCTTTGGTTGAGAGAATGGGGCAAAGCAATATTTTTAGAAAACAACTGAGAATATTCCAAAACTGATACAACACACTAATTCACTGACTCAGGAGGAACATCAAACCCCACATTGGAAAAAGTAAAATAACACAACACCCAGCAGTCAAACCACTGAAAATAAAAGATGGTAAGAAATCTTAAAAAGAGCCAGGAGGAGAGAAAGGACACATCACTTTCAAAGGAAAAAACAATAAACCGTACAGCTGATTACTCAACATAAACTATGGAATCCAGAAGACAATGGAAAGATGTTAATATCCTGATGGAAAACTGGAAATCTAAAAGTATATACCTTGATAAAATATCCATCCCCAAATTAAAAGCAAAATAAAACTTTACTTATATTTTTTATTTGTAGCATAAATATTTAGTATTGATTATTTTCTATTTCAATTTAACAATTTTATTATATATAACTTAGTCATTTCTAACCTACAGAAGGATCAAAGATAATATGACATTCGCCTGATTCCTTTCAAAGATTCAGTACCTAATATTTTATTTGGATTTTATATTCCCTTTTTTATAAGTCCCTGAAAATTATACATCTGTATCTCTCTCTGAATTTAATGATAATACCTATAAACAATGATGCTTTAAAAATATTTGAAGTTGAATAAAGTTTGGATTTTTTTTTATTAAATCCAAAAAGATATTCCCCACTTTTTTTTCTGCCACAAGTGAAATGATTTTCATTAATATATAATTTTCATTCCATATTTAACAGACACTGATCTCAACCTGTTGATTTACAAATTTCCTTTTTGTAATTTTAATACAAATGCTCTTTATTACACCATTGCCTGAATAGGGCCAAAGGAAAAAAATAAAATGTTGACACAGTGTAAATAAAGTGGTTTCCTGCTGAGCTGAACTAAAATTGAAGCCATAATATACCATAAAATTTGTTCTCATAAAGTTTCTTGCCTAATTTGGCAAATATAAGAGCTTATTTATAAACTTCAAGAGCCTGAAAATTTTGGAGGCTTAATTAAAATGGAATAAACCTTTGCTCCTTTAAAGGCTTGCTAGTCAGCTACCTGTGAAATGAGTTTTGCTAAAGAAGGGACTTTTCTAAAATTCATGTCCCATCCAAATTTTAAGTTAAACACAGAGGAAGAAACCTAAAATAGTCTGTTAACAAAAATTCTAAAACTTTAGGTGCCTAACAACGTATATCATATTTAAAGTTTTATTTTTTACCAACACAACAAATTTTGTTTTTTTCATTGTAAATAAGAATATAGTACTTAAGAAGAAAATGAACATGATTTTTTTGTATGTAAACACATTAAAATCAATCATTTTGGATCACCATAATTTACTCTCTTTTTTCCCACAGTATATGATTACAGGAACTACTACACTCTTCATTCCACAGACTAATAAAATGTTTTCAACATGTCACCACAAATATCAGATAAAATGGAAGAAATTATAACAGAAACGTGGTCAAACTATGGTACTAACATGAAAATTATAAACTTGAACTTCAATCTGTTTTAAATTGATACAATAATTAACTTGGAAGGACACAAAGAAAAATTAGAAATACTTGTAAAATTGGAGCGCCTGGGAAATCAACTCTTGATTTTGGCTCAGGTCATGATATTGCAGTTCTAGCTCCACATTGGGCTCTGTGCTGTCAGTGCAGATTCTGCTTGGGATTCTCTGTCTTCCCCTCTCTCTCTGCCCCTCCTCTGCGCGCTCACGCGCTCTCTCTCTCTCTCTCTCTCTCAAAATAAACTTTTTTTTTTAAAGAAAGAAATATTTGTAAAATGGACTCTAGCAGAGTTCTTGTCCAATCATATGCACTTTTCCCTGAAAATGTTAAACTTTTGGATCTATAATCAAGAAAATAATTGGTACTTGTTATATGTTAAGAATTTCATATTTATTATTTCACTTAATCTTCTTTATCATCCAGTGATAAGCCTATCTGTGTTACTATTTTACAGATGAAGATAGTAAAGCATGGGGAGATTAAACATCCTATCAATCATATAGCTAATAAATAGAAGTACTGGGAAAATCTAGATGCTGTAACTCTAGACCTTCTACTCTTAACCACTATACCATATACAGACCATAGTTCTTGTCAATCATTCACATATTCTGGATTCTCCTACATTTCCATAACTTCAAAACACATAAAAGTTATACAACTAAAATTCATTATAAGACACTAAATTTCAACTCAAAGCATTATTAAAGAATTACAGCTTTTAAAGTAGAATAAAACATTATGGATCATCTAGTTAAGTGGTTAGCTAACCATGCGTCATATCTCATGGGTTTTATGGAGGTATCTCAGATCAATGACATCCATTTCCACTTTAAGCTAAAGAGCTGTATTTATATTTGAAAAAAATGCTGAAGAAATTTTTATAGAGGCTGAAACACATATACATACACACACCTCAGAAGAGTATTAGTTCTACTCATCAGTATTTTATAGGTGAGAATCACAGTTTGCCTACGGTCAGCAAGAGTCAGCATTCAAACTCAGTATATACTTAGAAATATTTATGAAATGGATCCTAACAAGGTTCTCGGCTAATTATAAATACGTTATTTTTGTATATAGTCATTTTTTTATGATTTACAATCAAAGTAATAGTTGACATTATGTGCTGAACACTTCATGTTCATTTTCCTACTTACAACAAGTATTATGTATAATCAATATGATCTTTGATAAAATCTTTATAATGT